GACGGCAATAGGCGGCCAGCCGTTCCTCATTCTTCCGGTTAGGCCTTCGGCATCGCCAACCGCCGCCGACGCCCAATGACGCTGATGTGCTTGGTCCTCGGGCCCAGCTCTTTCAGCAATGCCGGGCGAATGGGTGCCGGACGTTGCCGAAGGCCGAGGGGGGTGCCAGGGGGCCGGGCCGGGCCATTGCCGCCGAGGCCCGTCCGCGGGGCAGGGGCGGGCTTTGCGTCGGGGCCGAGGGACGAAGACAAGGCGCCCGAGGGTGTTGCAGGTGGTGATGAAAGCTCCAGGCGGCAGGGGGTCTTCATGAGGGAGGGAGCGGGTGACGACGATGCAGCTCTTGCGCAGGACGTCGAGAAGGTCAGCAAACTGGGTGGCGTAGGTGTAGGGCGGCGTCTTGATGCCGACGGGGAGCTCCGGGGCCGCCGGCAGGACGTCGAGGTAGGCCTTGAGGCCGGCGGCCGTGTAGGCCGGGGGCGGGGCGTCGGCGATGTTGGGGCACGAGAGGTTGATCTCCATGGCGATGGTGAGGTTGGGCACTTCGTCCTGGAACGTGTCGAGGCGGTCATAGCACCGCCGGATCTCCTGCGGGGTCCCCGTCACGGAGACAATGATGGGCTTGAGGTGCTGTGGTGATTTCTTGTCGACCGTCTTGTGGATCTTTTTGAGGAAGGCAAGGTACTTGGAGAGTGGGTAGGGCGAGTAGCCCAGATTGTTGACAGTCGCGGCGTCTTCTTGCGGGTTGATGGCCGGGGCCGATTCGCCCTTGGCCCTCTGGCGCGCAGAGGAGCTGGCGAGCAAGGTTGTTGGCGAGAAGAAGGCATACTGGTGAACGGCGTCGTCGTGCTCGAAGCCGTCGAGGAGCGTTGTGCGCGTCGTGATGGCGCCCGTGTGCGGGCTGTCAAAGATGGCCTGCAGATCTTCGAGCGTGGTGGCCCATGGGTTCGCCGAATTGAGCAGAGGCGGGGTGATGGTGAGCTCGGGGGGAGGGTCGCCTTCCATTGCAGACATTGTTGGCTGGACTGGCGATTGCGGTGGGATGGGTATGGTGAAGGTTGGTGGTTACGTCTTGACAGTTTGTGAAAGACAGACACCGTTCGAGAACGAGGAGAAAGGCTGAGGAATGCGATGGCAGGACGAAGAAAGGAGAGAGGAATTGACAAGATGCTGTCAGGGGCGCGGCCGATATGATGTAGTGGTGGGACGAGTATCGCGAGGCGCTCAACCGCGGGGTCTGCTCGCTGTGCCAATCCCACTTATCCTTGTGCGTATCCCAGTATGTCAGGAGGATCCATCCGTGTGAGCGTCCTGATTTGTCTCTAGCCCGTCCCAGTCGAGCGCGGCCACGATGGATGCATGGAGGAAATGAGAGCGCCGCAGCTCGCGGTGCACCAGTTTCCAGGTTTGCGCTGCGTGAGGTGGGTTCAGAGCATGACATCATGGCGACATGCGCGTCGCGTCCTCCTCCTTTTCACACACACGCACGCACCCACACGCTCGCTCTCCGTCTGGACCGCGACATGCGAGATGTATCCTGGGTGGATTGCATGTGTAGGTGATCATCGTTCTATTGATGGAGCTGCTGACCTCTTATATTGACTGACAGTTGCTGGTGGTGGTGGCAGCTTGGCGTGTGCTGTGGCAGCAGTTTGAGTCGATCTCGTGGCCTCTGATGGATACCCAGATGCAACCGTTTGACGGGATTCTATGCAGCAGAAGAAAGAGAATGCGAACCACCCTGCATAGTGTGCTGATGGTTCTTTTTTTCTGCATGATGTCCATTTTTTGCATTTGCTGCCTCGAGGAGGAGCACCTAAGAAAGGTGTCACATCGTCGATACGCGAAAGCACCCTGCAGCTCTCATCCAGGCATTGCTTTGACGGGGCCAGGTGTCGAGATACAGCTGCGGACCATGATGAGATGTAGGATCAATGTCATGGTGCTCAATTTTGGAAAAGGCGTAGGAGACTGGGCACATCATGGGAATACTTCACCAGCTGCTTGTAGCCAGCTTAAGCCAGGCAGGTCCATTGGAGGCAATATCAATCACGTGACAACACAGTCAGCAATGCCGAGCGATCCCCTGGACGGTCCGTCCCCTGGAACGCTGCCGTTCCAGCGGTCGAGGCTGTCACTGCAGGTGCCAGGCCTGACCATTCTGATTTGCCCCGCCGAATGACTCTCTCTCTCTCTCTCTACGCCCTCGATCGCCTCCTCGTGCTCCCCCACCTCCATTTGCTCATTGCTCATGGGGGTTCCAGCCAGCTGGACACCGTCTCGATCCATTCCTATCTCCTTTACCAACACGCGCCCTACCAATGCACACACCCGCTCTGGACCTCACCACGCCTTGCCATCGCCGAACGTTGCCATCCCAGAGTGGCGTGTGCTCGCCGACCGTCTGATACGCCCCGCCCCGGTTCACTCTCTGATGAGACGGCCTGTGACACCCCGGATGATCGCCAGACTCCCCCCATCATCCGACATCCTCTTCTCGAACCGACCATCCCCCCTTGACGACGACCTCTGATTGCATTCGCTCAACAGAAGGCGTCCATCGACAGCAAACGCCTGCGACCTTTTCTGCTCGAACATGAGCTCGACGCCATCGATCACGGGCAAGTCCCTCTCTGCTTCGACATCCCATTCTCCTGCCGTCCAGCCCGGCCCCGCCCCTTCGAGTTTTGAGTCGACCCGCCGCCCGAACCAGACGAGCCCCTCCATCACCCAGACGAACGCCCGCAAGGCACAGGCCGCCAGGAAACAGCACAAGAACCAACGCCGACCCGCTGGCTTTGGCCAGCCACGACAAAACTCCACGCTGGATGACGATGACGACATGGCTGAGATTCGAGCCGTCCGGAACGCCTCGAGCCGCCGTGGCCAGACATCCATCACCCATCTCCTGAACTACAGCACGCCTTCTCGTCACTACCAGGATCACCTCCACACCCACCACCACTCCTCCTACTCGAGGAGCTACCGCCGCAATCCCACCTGGGGTCCCGGATCCGGCCACCACGCCGCCGACAAGGCCCGCTACGTGCACGCGAACTACCGCTTCGTCGTCTCGCCCGAGGGCAGCTACGCCACGCAGGCTGTCGACGCCGACGAACACCTACAATGGGGCGACGTCCTCCAGATTCTAGCCTCGGCCGAGTCCCAGGCCACGAGCTGTCCCATCTGTCTGTCCGAGCCCGTTGCCCCGAGGATGGCCAAGTGCGGCCACATATTCTGTCTGCCATGCCTCATTCGCTTCATGAGCGCGAGCGACGATGATGCGAAGAACAACAGAGGCGCGCGTTGGAAGAAATGCCCCATTTGCGAGGACAGCGTGTACCTTCACGAGACTCGCCCTGTCCGCTTCTACGCCGGCCAGGAGAGCCCACTCCCTCGAGTCGGCGACGATGTCGTGCTCAGGCTCATGGCAAGGTCGGCGAAATCCACACTTGCCCTGCCTCGGGAGGGAGGCGCCGAAGCCCTCGGTGCCGCCGACGACATCCCCTGGCACTTTGCTGCCAACGTCCTAGACTATGCGAGGATCATCAAGGGTACCGCTGGGTACATGTCTGAGCAGTACGACGAGGAGATCCAGGCTCTACAGAAGCAGGAGACGGAGGATCAGCTCCTCTATCACGAGGATGACGAGTGGACACAAAAGGCCATCCGCGCCATCAACACAGCCAAGGACAAGATCATGGACCTCGGTGAGCAGGCCGGCCTGCCCTCTGCCAGCTCAAAAGATGCAGGCCAGACCAGGGTGGTGCAGCCCGATTTCTTCTTCTACGCATCCCAGCCACACCTCTATCTATCAGCACTGGATATTCGCATCTTAAAGACAAAGTATGGCGAATTCTCGGCCTTCCCCTCCACCCTCCTCCCGCGCGTCGAACACATCTCCACCGGCCACGTCCTCGACGACGCCCAGCGGAAACGGGCCAAGTACCTCGGCCACCTGCCCTACGGCTGCGTTATTAGCTTCCTCGAGTGCGATTGGACCGATATTGTCCCCGCGGAGATCCTCGACAAGTTTGCCGGCGACATTGAGAAGCGGAGGAAGCGCAACCGCGACAAGGCCGCCCAGGAGGACCGTGAGAGGTTACAGGCTGAGCGCCTCGAGGCCGCCGCCATGCGCAGTCTCCACAGGCACCCGCCGCCAGTACGACCCCATTGACGAGGATAATGTCCCCTCGCTCAACTCGGCCGACTTTCAGCCCCTCAACAGCGCAGCAACCCACCACGCCGGCACCACGCCCCCGGAGCCGCCGACAGGGTTTCGGGCAGCTTGGCCGAACTTTCGAC